ACTCTGCTGGGACACTGACCTGCAGTGGACTGTAGAGACCCATCCAGAGGCAGTCTAACACTGCTGGGACACTGACCTGCAGTGGACTGTAGAGATCCATCCAGAGGCAGTCTCGAACTCTGGCTTTAGGTTGCAGGATTAACTTTCAGGGTATATTAGCAGCAAGGTACCCACAGGCTCAGAGCTTTGTCTTAGCTCCTGTAGTTCAGGGAGAGAGTTGGGAGACGCGAACTGTAGAGAGTTTAAATAGCACAGGAGAAGTGCATTGTATCCTGTGCTTTAACATTAGCAGCTAGCCGGCAGTCCTGATTCCAAATCAAGTTTGATGAGTTAGAAGGAGATAATGGAAAACTTGCAAATGTTTGATAGATCTGGAGTGACCTTAGCATTTCTGTTCACTACTTGGTGTCCCAGATTTAATTCTACTTCTCCAGAATCTCTGCTGAGTGGCTGATTAGTGCTGATGCTAGTTGAAAACTTGGGGTCAAGTTTTAAGCTTTGCTTGTGCACCAGTAGCTTTCTGAGGGAGAGTTTCTTTCACTTTCTTTCTTCACTTTCTTATTGATGGGTGAGCGCAGTTAAGCATGCCAGGCTTTCCCAGCATGTCTCTTTGTGATAAACAAGGGGAATCTCATCACAGGATAACACCATGGATCTACAGGAGACGAAGAGGAGTAGAAGAAATCCTGCTTACTGATATGATAAATGAACTAACCTGTGTAGAACAGGACTTAATGCATTTTTATACAAAAATTCATATTCTATATTCTGGTCGCTTACAGATTAGAATGGCATATGCTTAGCAATAATATTATTTATGGTACCTGAAAGTTTCAGGTTGTTGCACAAAGCTAAGGTATGCGTATACGTGATCTGACAACTGGAATCAATTTCCTGTCGTTTAACTCTGTTTATTTTTAAGTTTTTTTTGTGGCTCTGGGGTCAGGGGTCAGGGTCAGCATTCATCACAACCTTACATCACCACGTGCAAGCCACTGTGGATATCAAGCCTGCTCTTCCCGCCTCACTTACAGACATCTCTGTCCCCAGGCGTCTCCAGGCGTGGAGGAGAAGTTCTTCAAGACGCTACAAGACCTGATTAAAAACTATAAAAGAAGTGGCCAAGGGCTGGCAGCTCGTCTTCAGCACCCTGTGAAGAGAAAGCAGCAGCAGCCCATTTATAAAAACGTTCTTTACGACACCCCTGATTATGAAGGTAGGTAAAGTGTTGAAGCGACTTGATTAGAACTAATGGCTGTAATGAGAGTACTGTATCATGTATGGCGCAGTGGAAATCTTGCTTTCTGTCATAGTCTGGTGCACTTCAGAATACTGGATCTTTGCCTCCTATAACGACACAATAATGTACTCTTAATTCCTCCAACCGTAAGGAGTGCCCAGTGAAGAGGTATGTGGATCCTATGCAGACGCAGGAGCAGATCGATATCGAAACAGGCGTACAATCCGAAACGCCAGGCGAGATCGTGGTCGAAAGGCGGAAGGTAGTTCGAAATCCAGGAGATGCGAAGAGAGGCGTACAATCCAAATGAGTAGGCGAGGTACAAGGTGGAGGGGCAAAAGGGAAGTTCAGAAAAGAAGTATCGCAAGCGAGGTACAAACAAGGCGGGGTAGAGCTCTCTAGGAGACGACTCAATACCGAGCAGCGGGAAGCGGGTCTGGATGGTTTAAATAGCGCTGCCTGCCGCACGGTAGAGCGTGTGCCGGTGAATTAACACTGCGGCGGCGCTTGTTATTATCAACCCGCTGCTGGCGCTGGTGAGCTGTTTTGTGGGTTGATCTCTGCTGGCTGGCGGTCGTGACACTAACCCCATATCTGCAGGATGATGTCTGCCTGTCTCTGAAAGTGATCTGATGTGCTGACAGTGATATTTGCAAAGGTCAAATACCCATGATTGTTTTCCCAGGGCATGCATGAGTCACGTCAGCAATGCAAAATAAACGTGTTAATTATGTAAAACATGTTAAAATAAACATGTTATTTTTAGGTGGCTCCACACCTACAAGGGAATAGGAGCTGTTCATGTTTTGCAGGTGACTGCAAATATTGTCGTCATTTCCTTTCTAAAATTTTCCTCTGCATAAAGTACTACCATGGGTTTCATCAGTTTTTCCTCAACAGTTTTGCTCCTGCTCTAGAGTTGTCAGTTGTTGTCTAGAGATTTACTTACTTATTACGGATCTTATCCGAGAACTGGGTGTGTATGTGAAGAGAACCAATTGTGTTTTGAAATCCTCGCAAAATACACACAATCAAGTTTTAAGTCTTCTGCTTTGTAAACTGCAGTAGATGAATTGAGAACACCTGTGTTTCTGAAAGCATGAGAGATGTACATCAAGTATATAGGTAGCTAACAGAAGAGTAAAAATCACTCGTATTTTGATACGGGAGTTTTGCTTTGAAAATCTCCACCCTTTCTTGTATTCAAAGCTTCTAGTATAAATGCTTGATTTACCCTATTGTTTACAAAAATACAAAAAGCCAAAAGGAATATGCTCTGTTTCAGTATCAGGAATCTGACGACACCCCTTTAATAAGGTAGGAAACATTGGGAAATATTTTTTTAAGGAGCCTGCTTCTTCTCTGTGTTCCAGATATCCCTGACAAGGATTATGTGGATGTTCTTCCTTCATGAAACTGTTGTTACGGACACAGAAAAGAGGGATGGTGACAGCCAACACCCTGAGAAAGCCTTGAGAACTGTCACTTAAAAAACCCCAAACTGAAGAAAGTTTTCACAACTTTTTTTTTTAAAAGAGAGGGAACCTGTAATGCCTTCTTCTTTGATGTTTTAGTCCTCAATGTGAAATTCACGGCCTGAATTGTAGCATTCTTAGAGAAATACGTTTGAAAGGAGGAAAATGATTGATAAATGCTGAAATGAACAGATGTGGGAGAATGAATCTCAGACGTTATAAGACTCAATCGACAAAGTACGAACTGTCAGGATAGATTTGTCCCTCACACTGTTCAGAAGATAGAGGCAATAAATTCAGATCACTGACTCCAATAATAGTGAAGAAATACAGTCAGCTGTATGATAATGCCTAATTAGCTTTAAATAATTCATCTTTGTGGATAAGTTTAGTGTTCATTAACTACTCTCACATTTGCTTACTACCAAATACAATAGAGACCGTCAATACAATACAACTCACTTGATGATAGAGAGCCATGGATCTGCCTAGTTAGTGGAATAAACCTTATGAAACAGAAGAACCTTCATTAGGCACAGCAATCTCCTGAACATGGTAAATACATTGAGTATATAAAAATGTTAAATATATTTAAAAATTTCAAGTAATTTATTTGATAAATACAGCGCAAGTACTGTGGCACAGTGGTCATTATTGCTGGTTTTAGTGCCTGACCTTTGCTGCTCGGAGTCTGTATGTTCTCTCTGTGTTTATGTGGTTCCGACTGGGTGCTCCACTTTCCTCCCACAGTCCGCAAACATACTGGTAGGTTAATGGGCTACTGGGAGAACTGGCCCCAGCGTGAGTGTGTGCGTGTCTACGTGTCTGTCCGCCCTGCGATGGACTGGCGTCCTGTCCAGGGTGTACCCTGCCTTGCGTCTGTTGCTTGCTGGGATAGGCTGTGGCCGCCCCCTGACCCCGTATTGTAAGAAGAGGTTAGAAAATGGATACATACACTTGAAACATGCTCAAACTGAAAATGTTTCTAATTGTTTGTAATCAATAATATATACCTATGATGTGTTTGTCTTGTGCTGTCTATGGTGAGGACAGTATTTTCTTTCTGTGGGACTGTAAAAAAGAGTTGTAAATAAAACTTGTACAAATAGTAAATAAATATGATTAAAGAAATGTAAATCTGCTGTCATTTTTTATTAGTGTATTCTATATTTTATACAGTTCAAACTACTGTATTTGCAATCAGAATTGGCATTATTTTCCACTCTAAATGTTTTGTATAAATAAATACATACTGTAAATATCTAAGTATTTTGTGGTTTGCATATTTGACAATCCTGAAGGTGTGTATTAGACGCTCTTGCCGGCTGTAGGCCTTGTGTCTCTGTGTGGTGATCATGAGTAATGACTCAGACTCAGACTCTTTTTCTAACTTACTTATGTGAAAAAAAAAACCCTGTTGTAAAACCCATGCACTGTGTAAGAAATGCAGAACTGAGCTTACCAGTAACTTGAAAAACAGGAAAACACAGACTGATTACTAGCATGATATAGTGGACAAGGTTCCTTAGTGTCAAAATTAAGATAAACTTTGAACAGATCAAAATAAAAATAGCATGTCATGATCGCGACCTAAGCCCATCTCCTCTGATGTCATGTCTGTTACTACAGAGTGTTTAGAGTTAGGTGTTAAGAATTAGTGTGTGATCTGGCATGCCCATGACTGAAATTTTAAGCACCGCATTAGAAATAGACTACTGATAACCAAGTACATCTGAATTATGAACAAAAAGACAAAATATCATCAAAGGGCTTTTTAAAAAAGACAGTGATTATATTATCTATGACTACAAAAGCTATCTTTTATGGGGACCAAGAGAGTATAATGCAGAAAGCTCTGGTCACTTGTTTTCTTTTAATTGCACAAGCAATATAAACAACATTGTGAAGACTACAGGGAGCTAGTACATACAGTACATCTTCACAGTGTGCTATATAGCATGCATAGCATGCACTATATTTGATATGTAATGCATAGAGGAATATATGTGAATCGATGTATTTGTCAGACTGCGAAATCTGATGCCTTCATGCCCAATGTGAAGGCTATAGGAAGGCATGGGCTCACTTTTCTTCCTCAGATCTGCACTGTAGCCAGATCAACGAATGTGGAAAAACAATTTTTCACTCTCGCGTGCTACAAGGTTTGCCAGCAGACGTAATGGACAAAGGTTTATAGTCCACCTGGTTAAGGGCACTAAGCATACGCCGTGAGGCCTAAAGAGCATTTTTTTGCAAAAAGGGAAGATAAATTATAGTTATGGATCAACCACCTCGGCCTCCAGACGTGAATCCTGCTGAGGTGTTATTGCACACAGGAAACCACAGATGCCTGTGGAACTCGAAACTGCATACTCTGAAGAATGACTGGAAATCTGTTGGGAAATGTGCCAGGGGCAGGTTTCAAAATACAGAAAGAGACAGCAAAGTTGCAAGAGCAACATAAGGAAGAGAGGAGGCCATCTGACGCACTCAGGCTGTGTGTTTGCTGGGAGCTAAGTGACGTGAGGTTCTCATCCAGCTGTTTTTGAAAAAAAAAGCCAGGGTATCAGCTTTCACAACATGGCTGCGTAACTCGTTCCAGACCCCCACAACCCTTTGTGTATAGATGTCCCCTCAAAAAAAAATCTTACTAATGTATAATTACCAAAATAGTTTTCAATTTAATTTTGAAACTTTCTTTTAAATGTCACTTTTGACAAAAGGCAGCTCTAGGTCCAGTGTGCTGGCCAATCCTGTTGGCACAGGGAACTGGAGGCTCTGGGCCCTGACCAAGACTCTGTCAGGATTGCTGGCTCTTGGAGAACTACTGCTGCTGCTCTCTGATCTCACACCCATCCTAAAACAGGGCTGAATGGAGCCCTTGCTGCTCGCTGTGCTGGAGTATGCAGTGCAGGTCCTTCTGCCTGCTACACTGCCACTTTTGTGTCACTCACTGGAAACATGTATCTCCCTTACTTCCTGGATAACTTATACACCAGTGTTTCACTCGGTTGGCTTGGTTTATTCTGAAAAACAAGCAAAAATAGAAGAAATAAAAGGAGAAATATGTTGTAAAATATTGCTACAAATGGGGTGTTATTTAAATGGAGAATATCAGGAGCTGACTGAGCGGTTTAGTCAATCAGTAAAATAATTACACATAACCCCCAACTTGTAAGTGATTTCTCCAGAACTTACCCGTGCAGTTGGTATAGTTAGAGGCATGTGAATTATTTGTTCTCTGGCACTGCTTTTGTGAAAAGAGCAATAAGTCAGGCACACTTGATGAAACAAATGTTTATTAACAATAACAGTTAAAAACTACACTACACACAACAAAATACAAGTTACTCTGTGTACACAGTATATACAGACAAGGCATTGCAGAGGCCTAAAGTTCTAATCACCCTGAAAACCCCAGACCGCTACACAGTATTTGACCGTTAAATATAGCTATACCAAACTAAGAGATACGCTGCCTTCTCTAACTCTGCAAACCTGGATGTCATACAATGAATAGGAGCCTATCTCTCTACTCTAAGAATGCACCCACAGGCAGGAAAGGCTGTCTTTAACTTGAGGTATTATTAACTCAGGAAATCCAACTTCCTAAAAAACACAGAATTTAAAGCTCTCTCTGCAAGGTTTAAATACATAGCTCCAATCACGTTTTGTCTGGATGATCATGAAGTAGGTGCTCCCGAAAAAAGCTTCAAGTTCCAACTCCTCCTGACTTCTCTTTCTCTTGTGGTCTGACTTTCTTTTTTTCCTCTTTTTCTTTCTGTGGTCTTGACGTGATCTCATATGATGTCTTTCTGGGCTGCTGATTGACACTTAATCATTTACCCAGGACTTAATTAACTAAGGTAAACCAAGGTAAACTCTATGATTGCTTTTGATCACAGACTTGGACCCTCTACATCTCAGCAAACATCTTCTCTGCTTTGAAGCTGGAAATATTTATACTGCCAGATATAGAGACACGTTCTAGTCACCTATTACTGTAACAATACAGTTTCATGCCAAATGTTGTTAAAGTACACGTATTGTATAGTGATTGCATCTTGGTATGACATTGATAGAATAAATGAGTGTATGTAACATGACACAATACTTCATGTAGAGTATTGACAAAGAACAATTATAGTACTGTAACATACACTAAAACTAGATAATTGTGTAAGAATAAATGTAAAAGAAAAAGAATACATGTAAAATGCAAAAATAATAAAAAAATAAATAAAATCCTTTGTACAACATACTTTTAAAAACTGTGGGTATAAAAGGCATGAATATCAATGGTGCCCTATAGTGGTAGTCGAATTGCTTACAATGAGTGTCTGTGTTTCAAATGCTGTAACTAATTTTACACAATATATTTACAACGCATGAAGTAAAGAGCTTGCATATTTATGATGAAAAAGGTACATGAACAATTTGCATTGATTGTGCTGACTACAATTGTTAAAAAGATAAGTAAAAACATTTAGAAAGCATATGTACAGTACAATATATATATATATCATATAATAGTGCGTTTGGGGCTGATTAAATGCCATTCGTGATTTAACGGACATTTGGCAATAACAAACACCCCTTTCCCATTATTAGCTCTTTGTATCAGGGTTTTTCTTGTTTTAACTGTGTAGATTCTTTTGTTGCAACATTAATTAAGCGTTAAGCAATGCTGTGGCTCTGTGCTACATGTTGTGGGAATTCTATTTTTGTCATTATGCAAAAGTCTGTAAGTAAAGAGGATACAGCCCTGCTTTTGATGTGTATAGCTCATGGTATAATTCTTATTGCCTAGCACTTGTTTTTGATGCAGGGAAAGTATTTTTCATTTGCATGTACAGCCATGATAAAAACCACACACCAGAAGAGGCATATATACATGCATATACAGTATACAACCTGTCTTGACCATTGCTTTCGTCAGCCTGAAAGAAGTGGTACAGGAAGTGGGGGGAGCAGAGGGGGGAGGGGGCTGGAGGTCCTGTGATGCAGAGGGAGGCACGTCTGAGGCCTGAGACGTCAGCACTGGTTGTGTGGCTCGGAAACTGAGCCCCACAGGACCGGCAGGAGTGAAGCATGAAACCGCAGCAGAGTGTCTCCACTGGGGGAGGAAGGCACACCATGCCCATGTCATGGAAAAAGGGTGGTTAAGCAGAGGGATGTGCAGGGTCTCAGACAGGAGCATAACAATCTCCAGACACCAGACAAGGGCTAGCGGCTCTGTCACAAGAGCTGCCCATCAAAAGGCCCTGGACCGGTGGCTTCGAGTCGCATGCCGAGCTGCTGGAAGCGAGAAAGAAAAGACTTCATCCCGACTTCCTGCACCAGCCAAAGTGAACACATGGGACTGAGCAGAGAGATGCTTGAGTAATTCTCAGATACTTGAGGGCAATAATGCTGACAAGTGGTAATGACATTGTTGTGTCCTCATCGTCTAGTCTGAAGGTTCATGTGACGTGGCTCTCCATATGAGTAAGGCAGTAGATGTTTTGGAGCTTTCTCTCCATCTGTCAGTAACCTTGAACCTACAAAGACATTTCTTTCTCCTGTCTTTGCTAACCTGTGTAGCTGCTCCTGTCAAGGTGCAAAACTGAGTGTGCAAGCAGGGCAAAGAGCACGTCTCCTGCCTGTGAATGTCTGTTCCCCGGTGCCCAGCCGCGTGGGTGTCCTCAAAATGACAAGCTGGTTGACTTCCATTACCTTCTCTCCTTCTGTCTGGAGCGCTGTGTGATTCTCCCCTAGTGTCCTGGTGCCAAAGCAATCCAGCACCCCAGGATCTCAGTACCCCAGTTTGTTTTGTCTGGCCAGGTAAAGTAATCTATCAGCCTTAATCAATTCACATTTTCCCGTTAAGCAACACTTCAAAACACTTGACAATGTCAAATGAAACTTACAAGGCAAGGTCTGAAATTCTCACATATTCCAAAATTACTTTAAAAAACAAGCACTATTTCCTTGCCCCGATGTAAGGACTTTAATAACATGAAATTGTTTTGCAAAGTGTAAAAATGCAAGAACAAGTGGGTGTAACATATTGCAAAGATAATGTTTCTGAGTGTATCCTTTAAATAGTCCACAAATGTTGTTTTAGTACGTTACCCTTAACCTTAAGGCTTTCAGACTTCTGTTAAATCTTCCATTAGCTCTTTTTTGTCCGAGCTCTTCTCCACTCAAGGGACTTGGGAGTCTGCTCAAGCTGCCCAGCCACGTTGTCAAAGCTAATACTGTCTCTAGCTGCTTTCAAGAAACGGCTGGATGCAATTCTCAGATTAATTTCATACTCAGTTCAAACTAGGAGCCTAGGCCCTTTTTTTGTTTAAACTGAGTAGTTAAATAAGCAATTAATCTAATTATTTTCTTACCCAGATATACGGCATATAGAATTTTACAATTCTATAGGTCTTTTACAGCTATGTGAGCAAAACATTCAATTAATTAAAGTTAAAGTTTCATATGAACACCCCAGAGCCTAGTTAGAAGTTTAATTCTGCAGCTAATTGAATAGTTAGACCACCTCTGTAGCTGAGTTAGTTTGAAACTCCTTGATTTGCTGCGAGCACCTTCTTGTTGGTAAGCCTTCCCGTTCTTACCTATGGCTGCCCTCTGGTGGCGACAATCTGCCATTTCACATAATGACAAAGGGGGGTCATTCACCCATTCCAGGCAAAAACCCTGACATCGTACAGCAGAGAGGAAGTAAATTAGTTTTCCACAGCCATTTGTTTCACACATGGTAAGACCAAAACAACAAAAAGAGCCTTGTCAAAAAACCTAACTAGCACACATAAACAGCTTTGTTTTACAATATTGCGATCTTATAACATTACCACCTACTGTAGCTTGAACCTGTCATACTGGTCTCAGACTGGGTTAGCAAGGCTGGCCTTGGTCAGTACAGCACAAAGACGACCTGTAAGGAATAATGTTGCAGCTGTAGGTAGTACTGGTGCACCTGAAGACAAGAATATCCCAGTATGGTGACTGAGCACAGTGGGCTGTGATAGATGCTGTCCTACTTTAATATACTGAGATGTTAAGTCCTGACGGCTTTGTCATTAAATATCTCATGGCATTGTTTGTTGGTGTGTTATTTTAAGGAAATGGCAAACATGCGCTCACAATATATTTTTTCTAAGCTATTATAATGGGTTTATCTGGGATAATCCCAGAAAATACGAAGCAGCATTGCCATTAAAACACACTGCTAGCAGCTCTATCGCCCTGCAGCTCACAACTACTGTAGTTGCATACTGAAGCTCAGCAGCTATGAGGCTGGCCACTACCTGGCTGGGAGACCTCCTGAGAAAGCTAAGGTTGCTGCTGGAAAAGGCATGATTAGGGCCAGCAGGGGGTGCCTACCCTGTGTTGTGTTCGGGTCCTAATCCCCCAGTATAGTGACAGGAAACTATACTGTAAAAGAGGCACTGTCCTTTGGATGAGATGTAAGATTGAGGTCCTGAGTCTCTGTGGTCTCCTTAAAAATAAAGTGCTTTGAGTGGAGGGTATATAAGTATAAGGATATTATTATTATTAGAAATATTATTATTTCTAAATAAAGTCTACGTTTGGTTGAATATGTTGATCATTAATTATTTACTTACACTGCCATATCCCGCACATGAACCACAAACCTATAGTCGTTTCCGTAGCAAGATTGTACAGCACACCTTAAGTACAATAGAAATAATTATGAAGTACTTTTGAGACAATGTACTAATACCTAAACAAAATGACAGCCCTTAATGAGCCCAATGACCCATCTAATATTCCTTCCATATCTATGGTCATAACTCCCGGCAGCCAATCCAAAACAGGAAGCAAAGTTTTTACGTCACGCCGTCACACGGAGAACGTCCACGGTAAACAAAAAGTTGGGGGACCCAGAAAAAAAGAGAAAACATATATTTTGACACGGAGGTAAAATAATATTTAAAATGATTTTTTCTGGCTGTAATAATGTAGTTTTATACACAAAATACCGATACATCCGGATATATATAAATACGATATCTGTAAAATGGCCGTGGTCCAAAATAGTTTCCCCCCATTCCGTTGTGGTGTCTACCGGCTTTTCAAAGTCTAGGCGGGTGCAGTTGTTCGCCAGTGTTAACGGTTGTTGTCGATATGGAATATTGTTTATTTTGATCTGATTAGCGGTCACTTCGAAGTTTTCTTTTTTTGTTTGTTTGTTTGTTTGGCGAAGTGCTGCATCAATAAAAACAAGTGAGCTGAGGGAGCAGGTTAGTCCGGAGCACGGTCGCTGGGGTTACAGTAGGACAGTCCCACACAACCTCTCAGGACGTACACACGCATGTCGGGAGTCCGGACTAGACAATGGGACAGCATGATCCCAGTCGTCCCTCCTGTCTCTGCCTCGGCCTAATTTTGACCCACGGGCACGAGTGGGTGACGTTGTCACACTGCTGGAGATCTGTGGTCGTCGGGTCAAACGACTGCTGGGGTGTAACGTCCCCTGTCATATCCCACTTCAGTCTGTTCCTCCGAATCGTTTCGTCTGAGAATCGTCTCTCATTTTAAGTTATTTAAAAAAAACCAAACATTTAAAGGTTATTGAGCTGCCTCTAGACAAGCAGAAAAAAAATCCTGATTGTCATTAGGGGATTTCTGAACACTGCGTATCGAATGTTACAGGATGGATCCGACGACGAGTTTGAAGTCCTTGCTTCTGGCCATCAATCAATTCAAGAACAACAAGTCTGCCCCCAACGCTACACAGCTACAGAGACAAATAGACGTAAGTTAATGTGATCTCCTGTCACAGCCTGAGGAACAGGCGAGTGAGCCTTCTCGGTATAAAGTTTCATGTGATGTATATTTATGCCCAAAGATACATTTGCACTGTAGATGTTGCGTTAATTGTATCTTCTTTAACAACCCTGTCCAGCACCGTCATGCCAATAAAGCCCTGAACTGAATGGTTTGAAGTAGTAGCCTGTTTTTGTGGACACCTCTTTCACCCGCCTTCTTAATCTGGCTAGTGCATCTAATAGCACACATTCTCCAGCGAGGTTTCCTGTTGAAAGCATCATAACGTGGGTGCCAGGTTCACCATTAAGAACAAACTGGAGCGTGACAGAAGGGCGACTCTACTGTATATCGCTCCGCTGGTTCACTCAGCGGGCCACAGTGCAACAGAATCGGGCACTTTAGATAGTCATAAGGGGTTACAGGCGCATGTAAGTGTGAATTAACGCAGTTGCCTACTTAAGAGCTCAGGTGGGATTGGGGAAAAAGGCTGCTGCCCAGGAGGAACACAGCTCCAGAGCATTTTGGATGTGGAGCCCTCTGTGCTGTGTATTTATGGTGTTTGTTTCCGTGCAGGATGTCTCGGGGCTGAAGTGCCCGCGGCTGTTTGCCTCCACCCAGGTGCTGCCCAGCGAGTGCCTGAGTGGTCTGGTGGAGCTGGCGGGAGACCCCAACACCAGCACGGCCCTGGCAGGGAAAATCGTGGCCTTCCTGTCTCAGCTAGGTAGAGAGCAGTGCAACGCGGCGTCCCCTCTGCTGCTGCTGTTTCAGTGATCCCCTCTTGCTCTCTCAACCTGTGCCGTGTCTGACGGGTATCTAGCGACGCGTACCACAGAGAGGAGGCCGTTCAGGCGCTCGAGCACGGAGCTGCTGAACGACACTGCTCGTTTTCTCGAGATGTTCTGGCAATGTGTCGGAACACCTCATATTAATTGTTTTCTGTTGATTCTGGTCTGTGATGGGGTGTGGAGATTGTGTGGTTGCTTTAAAGCTAATATGTGGGGGTTTGGAGAAGACCCCTATTGGACATCTCTAAAAGTGAAATTGCAGGTCAGTGGTCACCATTAATTTGCATGGACATAGTAATGGGCTTGCATAGGTTTTTCTGAGGGAGTAATATAGGAGGATCAACCGTGTATCCTAAGATGCAGTGAAAGCAGAACCTTTAATTATTGTAAACACGTCTAACTGAAGGATCCATTGAGAAGTGAAATGTAACGATTCCATTTTTTTAGCTTCAGATGATGAGGCTAGAGAAGCTCTGCACAGCAGCTACAATCTCGCCAGCACCCTGGCATCGGTTCTTCACTGCAACAGTGCTTCCCCTAGAGAGCCCATCGTGCTGCAGGTACTTCTCTTCTTCCTTTGGTCTTGTGCTTTGTGACCCTGCAATCTGACTTAACCTTTGGTTTCTCTCGTCTTCCACAGTGCATACACATCTTGCAGAGGATCACGTACGGCGTGAAAATGTTCCACTCTACTGCGTACATGGATGAGCTCATAGGGTTTTTAATGCACCACATGTAAGTTGTCCTTTAGTGGAGGGGAGGGCCAAGTTGAGAACCGGAGAGGTCCTGTGATGCTTTGGAGGAACGTACAGAAACCAAGTGCAACCAGTGTCATATATGATTTCTAATGCTCTTTGTTGGGGAATTTGAGTTGCTTCTCAAGGTTTTGTCATTCTCTGTTTCTCTTTTTTACTTTTTAAAACAACAGCCAGTGCCCCAACGATGACTTGACCATGCCGTGTCTCGGTCTCATGGCGAACCTCTGCCGCTACAACCTGAGTATTCAGGCTCACATCAAGTCGGCGGTAAGAAATCTGACTTATTGTTGTATTTGGCTTTGCATTACCGGCGATCAAAGACAATGTAAATTCCAACATGGAGGACTCAAAAGTACTTGGAGACTTAGAAGATCAGCTTACAGATCAGACAGGCCTGATAACTTGAAGAATGACAGACTAATGTAACCTGCTTGTGAGAAGAATATGAAAAAAGTCATTCTTGTGCAGGAACATCTGATGAAGGCTGCTTTTGTACCTCTGGGCAAGGAAATTTGTTCCAGATTGTTCCAAAGTGCTGTCTAAATGGGCCTACTGCTCGCCTTTGTAAATGGCAGATAAATTACAATTTCTTCTAATTGAAATGGTAAAGGTATAAGACATTCTTATGAGAAAGAAGCTGGTTTAATATGATTTTGTGTTGTGTTCAGTCATAGCTATTTTTATGTTGTTACCAAAATATATTTTATTTATGAAAGAATAGACTTAAAGTCATCGGCCTCATGGTATTAATGGAATTTCTGTAACTGGAATACTTGTTCTTAAGGAACAAGTAATAGGTTTATTCCATGCTGAAAAAAAAGAAGAAAGAGAACACACATACTTGTTCTTATACTACTTGTGTACCACTTACATGCTGTTAGACAGTTTGGGAAGTTTAAAATGTTTTATGTGTCTTTCTAGAGTAACTTGAAAGCTTTCTATCGGACACTCATAAGCTTTTTGGCTCACAACAGCTTGACTGTTGTTGTGTTTGCGCTGTCCATACTGACAAGCTTGACCCTAAATGAGGAGGTTGGTGAGAAGGTAGGTGCTTTTCTTTACCTTCGCCTCAAACATCACCACCTGCAATCTAGGCACACACTTTTCCACTGCTTTCTGCTTGTGTATCATGGCTTTATTACACTTAGTTTTCTTTGTAAATTGGTGTTTAATAGTGTGACTGATGGTGTTTCAGTTAATATTTTGAGTTTGGATTTTTTTAAAATCTTTTGTACATGAAAAGAATGCTTTTCGAGGCTGTTTTGAGTCAGTACAGAAGTATGTTATTCACTTTTGTTCACAGCTCTTCCATGCCAAGAATATTCACCAGACCTTTCAGTTAATTTTTAACATTATTGTAAATGGTGATGGAACTCTCACAAGGAAGTACGCAGTGGATCTGCTGGTTGACCTCCTGCGAAATCCCAAGATTGCAGGTTACCTGTCCAGGTGAGCACTGAAATAGTTCAGAGGAAACCCAGCGTGTGAAAGGCCAGCAGTGCAGGAGCTCAAGCCTTCCTGGTATTGCTGTATATCCCCTTGGTTCACACTGCTGCATTGTTTTCACCAAACAGCCTTTCGTTGAAAGATGCAGGTTCCCGCAGTACATGTTTAACAGAACTGGATGATACTCATCATAATAAAACAGCATTTTTATTAAGTCAATTTGTTAAAACTTCTTCAGGAGACTTCTTATTTAGATGTTTTGCCTCAGTGCAGTGCATTATGGATGGAACTAAAAGCATAGTCGTTACATTTGCATGAAAAAGACAAGTCTAAAAAGTAGAAGCGTGTTGGTAGTGAAGCTTGCGGATCTCTGAATTTTTTTGTCCCTGCTCTAGATACGAGCACTTTGTGCTGTGTCTCACCCAAGTATTGGGCCTGTTGCACGGCAAGGATCCGGACTCCACAGCCAAGGTGAGCTGCCAGCAGTGACGAACAGGCCATTAGGCATCCCGTCTTATCACAGTGTCGTTGCATCCTCTGAAAATCTCAGTTTATGGAAACAATAGTGAAACTATATTTAGTCCTTACTAGGTGCTCATGTAAATGTAAATATTGTGTGCTTATTGGGTATCATTATAAGAAAGCCCATGGAAGTGGGAGAGGATTTGTCATACTTTGTATAATTGTAATCTCCACTTCTAAGAGGATTCCAGAATGAAGAGGGTTATAAATATTCACACGAGGCATCCCTGTGAATTTTCCTGTTTTGCATTTACATTTCAAAAGCCTTTTAGAACTTTTTCATTGACTCTTTCCTCCACCTATTCTATTCTATTCCTCGGCAGGTCCTGGAGTTGCTGGTTTCCCTGTGCTCCGTGTCCAGCCTGCGCAGGATCCTGTGCCAGACGGTGTTCCGGCCCTCCGGAGCGCAGTCTAAGTGCAGCTTGAGGAAGGACAGCCACAGCCGAGCCCCCGAGCCAGCGGTCGCTCTGGTCCACTGGGCCAGCCTGCCGCTTGAGGGACCAGAGAGTTGCTCCCTGCAGGCCCTGCAGCTACTCTCAGAGCTTTTTGAGGTTTGTAATGCAGAGCAGGTCTTTCAGGAACAGCTGGGACATTCTCACAACATATTGGAGATACACGGGACATGGCAAAATGAGTCACAGCAAACTGTGTTGTCAATTTAATCACTACACTGCCCCCAAGTTATCCTGCTGTGAAAATGGACAATCTGGATGTGACTCATTAGAAATTAAAATACTGTTTTTGCATGTTTGGTTTTCTGCTCATTTTCAGGAAGTGATTGACTCAGGCCTTTCCAGCACAGTCCAGCCTTTTGTAGATCTCTTGCTGCCTGTGCTGCTCAGTCTGCTGCAGACCCCTGAGCAGTTGCTCTCTGAACAGTTGGCCAAAAGAAACTGTGCCCGGACTGCCAGGGCCGTTGACGTGTTGCTTGATATCCTTTGAGAGTTTCCAGTTTCTGACTCCAGAGTCATAAGATTCTGTATTAGTTTAGCTTAGAAATGGCATTATTGTTATTCCGTTGCTTAACTAAATAAATATCTTGTAGCAACAGTGTTTTGCCATACTGCTTGAGTGATCTGTTGTTAACACTAAGCCAGTACTAGCTGGTGACAAGCAATGCATTATTAGTGTGATTAGTGTAAGCCTGCATCTCTTGTTTTCAAGAAAACAGTCATTACATATAAACTGGGTATTGATTAGTGTGTCGTCATTACCTTTGACGTTGTTTGTTTTTTTCTATTTTTAAATCTCTAAATGTAGTCTTTTGTAATGTACCGCTGTGAATAATAAAATTTCTATCAGTTTCCTTAACTGTGCAACTCCTGTGTGGAGAGGAGTCACTGAAGCTCTTTGTTTCTCAGAGGCTAACAGAAAACGTGTGTGTGTCTCAGATAGAGTACCTCTTCTCCAGCAGCAGGATAGATACTGGCTTTGACTGTCCTGTGGCAGAGTCTGATCTCAGGTGAGCCTGTAACATCATTTGGACTAGCAGTGCATCTCGACTCTCCTAAAAAAGCCGAGGTCTGAATTCTTTGTGACCAAACTGCTGATGTTATACGCTGACAATGGAAGGTGTAACAGTGCAAATTGAGACCATTGGCTGTTATTGATGTCAATAAACAACCTGCTTCCAGTGACTGACTTCACTGCCATTCACTGCTTCACTCTCGTTTTCCCTGCATAATGTATGACAATTAAATTGGGAAAATTGGGAAATTGAGAAAATCAGGGTGACAGTATGACAGGCAAATAGTTGTATACTAAATTAAAATAGGTATTCAACAAAACTAAAACGAAACAAAACTGGTTTAATGCCTGCTTTGACTGAAATCTCTAAATTAATGTATAAGCAAGAGCAGCAAGTTTTAGATTTTCCTGTAAACAATTTTTAAATCTTCCACCTCGAAATGTAACTGTTATTATTGTTAACTGAAATATGGAGTCTGAATGCCTCTCCTTATTTAAACTTAAAAGCCGGGCTGGAGCTGAAGTTGTGCTCAAGGTGCTGGACCTGATGAGCCGGGTCAGACAGCTGGTGCGGGACATGGAGACCAGTTTCTTCAGAATCCTGCAGGTACAGGAGCCTGTCGCCATCATAAAAGGTTTACAGAGAGAAGTTAGCGCTCCCAGATGTCACTGTGCTGTGCGCTGACTCGGAAAGATATAATTTGTTTCCCTTTCTCTCCAGGACCAGCGTCTCATTACGCCACTATCCTTGGCCCTGACCTCCGATCACAGGGAGCAGGTGCAGACTGCGCTCAAGATCCTGTTTGAGGCAGCCCCTCTGCCAGACTTCCCTGTGATAGTGTAAGAGAGAGAGATGCTTATCCCTTACAGCCCTGGCTGGCATTAAAGGAACTTTGGTTACATGATCCAACCACATTGGATATGCGGTTCTGTTATATCTGTTATCCACCTTAATTGTTTGATAAGCCCAGTCAGTTCTCTGTGCTCCACAGGCTTGGTGAAAGTATAGCTGCGAACAATGCATACCGTCAGAGGGAGGCAGAGTACTCCAAGAGAAGGAACCTGGCGCAGGACCAGCACCCCCTGCTGGCGAAGCCCTGTTCTTCACCAAGCAGCAGCCCATCTCAGCAGAGCATTCAGAACCTCATTGAGAAACTGCAGACTGGGATGGAGGTCCGTGTCCATTTAGAGTGTTAGCGATTTTTCTCTTCCTCATTATCCCAAGGGTTTTCCTAACTCAATACTGCATTTCCTCCTGTGCAGCACATTTGCAGAAAAATAATATAGTCCACAGTATTTACACACATTAAGGTATTTCTCAACCTCTGTTGTTATTTTGTTTTTAAATGAACAGATCATGTGTAAGACATCATGTGACCAGGCATGTTATTCAGCTCTCTGAGAGAATGGAATGGTGAAAGTTTCGCAAAATTATGCAAATTGTTGCTTTTAAAGAGACTATTCGAAAATACTCTTTGAAATGTGGAAATGTTTTTTCTGTAGAGCCGTGTTTAATTCTCCATACTGAAGGTTATGTCCAACAAACAGAGGATTTTAAATCCTTTTTAATTCAGCAGCTGTGGGGCCAGACAGCTGCTTTATCTTATCCAGGCTAACAAGGGGATATCAGAGCTGAGTCCCTGAAAGGCCCACACAAGCATTTCAAGGCTATCCTGGTACTGCTGCCTAATCTTTCTGAAACACCAAAACAGCCTGGTGGCTTTGATATTCATTTGAAGTTTTCTTTTAGTTTAGAGAGCAAATCAAAGATGTAAGGATTTCAGACATAATGGATGTTTACGAACAGAAGATTTCTGCCCTCGCGGTATGTGTTTTGACTCATTTTTTTACCATATTTGTCATGTTTCCTGACCAAATGTGTTTGTTTTGTTTTGAACGTGTTTTAGTGAAAAATAATACATAGAATGATATTCATTTATAAAAGTTTGTTTTGAATGAAGTTATTTTGCAGAAAGTTAACTTTGTTCCTTTAATCCTTTATAGCGGTTTCTACATCAAGAAATTGTATCTCTTGTTCCAGCTACTGGGGAAGACCTGTTATAAAAATGTTTTTGAATTCAAGGCAGTCTTGTTCTGCTGTGGAAGATTTCCACGCTAGGTACTGATGCTCACATGGTCTTTGCTTTTGGGTGATGTTTCCTGCTGGGAGTAGTCAAAGGAGAGCCGTCTGCAGGATCTGCTGGAGGCGAAAGCGCTGGCCCTGGCCCAGGCGGATCGCCTGATCGCGCAGTACCGCTGCCAGCGCGCGCAGGCCGAGGCCGAGGTGAGTCTGACGCCGGACGCGACGTCCTGCACGGGGAAAAACCGTCCGGGATCCAGCCCGTCCCGCGCGCGAGGGAGCAAGTGCCATGCCGCGTGCCGGCGGCGGGCCCTGGCTTCACCCCCCTCGCCACCTGCGCCCTCTCCCGCAGGCTCGGAAGCTGGCGTCGCTGCTGAAGGAGGCAGAGCGCAGGAAGGAGGAGCTGGAGGCGGTGCTGGGCAGCCAGACGCAGGAGGCCCGGCGGGCTGAGGCCGACATCCAGCAGCTGCTGCAGCACAACGCCAAGCTGCAGGCCGTGGCTGAGGAGCACCAGGCCCTGAGGGGCTCCTACAGCGACGTGGTGCAGAGGTACACTTCCTCAGCCGCACTGAGCGGCGCAGGGATTATGAATAACTGGTTAATTTATGAACATAGATGTGTGTTTATATGTATGATTCTAGTGCAGTTATACCATCAAAACAAAGGCTTATGTTCATCTGCAGTTCCACATTTTACTTGGATAATTTGTCTGAACCAAGAGCAGGTGAAGCCTTTCCTATTAACAGGCCAAGATCCTATTAATTGATGACTGCTGGTTTATGATGCAGCTATTGCAACTTAGTGCTGTACAGTACATAGAGTCAAATGACCAGTTGTTTTAGGTTTGGATAGGATAAGATTTCTCATAAGAATAACAAGGGTTTCACGCATCTACTTCCTTTTTAGATTAGGATGGTCTCTCAGTATAATCAATGAATAAATGTACAGATACTGTGAACCATCGTAAGGCCCTTCTTGTTCAGAGCACACCACTACTGCTGATGGGTTGTTGCTGAGATTAAAAAAACGTTAAGAATGTTATCTATCTTTTATTGAAATAAGATATACTGAGTGGACTTCAGAGTGTTTCATTCAGTTCTGCTTTAGCCTAATAAGTGGAAATGCTTTTTTTGCTTTAAAAACAGCTTTTATGTGACAACATGCCATGCAAATTCTTATTGTTTTAGGTTTAACGAGTGTGATAAGATGCTGAAAGATCTGCAAGCCGCTCATAATTCACTAAACAAACAATTTGAGGCGCTGAAGAAGCAGAATGAGAATCTGAGGCAGCAGCAGGACAAGTAGGTTCTCCCAGTTCGGTTACACTGGAGTTTGTGTGGCTTGATCTCATCAGTGCTTGACAGCTTTACTCCAGTGCAGACTCTTCTTTGTCTGTTTATTGTAAGCTATCTATTACTGTATCCACCCAATCAAAACCCATCTTCCTAGATAATGCACACTGAACACTATTCGCCTATGTTGTCATAAGTTAACAGAAGCGTTTATTCTGCAGCATTTTGCCTTAAGTGTTTTATATTCTTAAGTGTTTGTATTTTTTATACTACGGTGACCACAGTCATACACTTTCAGTGCTTTTAGCTGTATATTGTAACATTCTGTTTTCTTGTTATATTTCCACACCCTGTGTACAGAATGAAAATGTCAGACTTAGTCTTTTTCATTAATGGGTTTGTAAGCACATTGTTTTCATCTTATGTCTGTAGTTTGTTTCTGTTACCGGCATTTAACACTCTGCCCTTGCCTACATGAAATCTTAATTGCCAGGTGTTTTCCCAATCTTGAATTTTTGTAATTCCTTTTACTTCCTTTCTTTGCTTTTCAGAGTACTGGCAGAGCTTGCAGAAAAAGGAGATGAGCTCAAAGAGCTCAGTAGCAATGTTGAAGAAAAAGAAAAGAAAATATCTGGTGAGAGTTTATTTTTTGTGTGGGGTTCAAATCTAAACTTCCAACAGCGGTGTTGAGAGTCCTGTAAATGGTATCAATTAAGTTTGCCATTACATTTCATGATAATATGAATATGACAGCATAGCAGAACTACATGATAATTTTTAATGTGGCTTATTTAATTTTACTAAATGATTTATTTGGCTAACAATTTTATCGAAAATTACTTATATTTATACCCATTGTAGGTATTTTATTGGTGCATAATAAGTATTTTACCTTGCTGGGTGTTTTGCTGGAGCAATTCAGGTGAAGTACCTTGCTCAAGGGTACATCAGCAGTGTTTCACGCGCGATTTGAACCCACAACCTTACAGCTACAAGTCCATATCTCTGACTAATGTTCCACACTGCTGCCCTGCTTAAGCTTCAAGAATGAAACTAAATAGAATAGAAATCTTTGAGTCCTAGTCCCCTCTTCAGCAGACCCAGTCACACTGCACAGTGGAGCTGTTTACTTTGGGTACCTTTTTAGGAGAACATTTATGTCCTTCTAAACCTCAATCCTTTTTTAGGTCTGCTGCAAACCATACAAGCTCTAGAAGAAAAAGCAAAACAGAGGGAGAAGGAAAAAGAGGACATGGAGGAAACGATTGAAATCCTGAGGAAAGAGTTGCATAAAACAGAGCTGGCAAGGAAGGAGCTCAGCATCAAGGTAGGCCACAAGCAGAAGTCACCCCTTAAACTGCACAAGTATGTTGACGGCCTGTTATGGTGATTAAGAATGATCCTTGTATTATTATTCATTTGATTGGAGCCTTTATGTAGTAGACTTTTAATGAGCTAATACCACGTCCATTAGTTTAAATTGTGCCAAAAACTATATAGAACAGGTGCTGACTGCAGGAGATACCAATGCAGAATGAACAGATGCATTTTGAAGAAATGAGAGAAGCAGCATTTCTGCAGTTAATGGGTAGTTATTTCCACACCAGGGAAAGGCAAAGTTGAGGAACTGAGAGTTGAGGTAATGGTGTAGCAGGGGAGGATCGAAGAAGGCAGGAGAGAAAATCGTAGGGATAGATGATCCTGGTAATAAGAGCTGGGAGCAATGAAGAGAACAGCAAGGCAGATGAAAAACACACACCTGGTAGCCAGCAAGGGTGAAAAGCCATCGGAGAGCTTGAGGCAGTGGATTCTCGTGTATGAAGCAAGACAGGAGCAAGAGGACCAGAGGATGCGGGCAAAAACAAAATGCGAGAGAAAAAGGAAATGTAACGGAGAGGAAATCGCAATCAAAGTAGTATGAGAAGCAGTGGGTGTGGATTGTGAGAGGGAGATCGTGGTATTGATCTTGAAGAGAGGAGAGAGGATGAGATGAAATGGCCTGTCAGTTAAATAGCTGGGAATGGCACAGTGCCTCTCTATCTGAATGAAGCACTCTGAGCCCTCTGCGTTCTCAGGCTTTGGACTTTCCCAATTGTTTTTACAGGCATCTTCCCTGGAACTTCAGAAGTCTCAGCTGGAGATACGCCTGCAGAAGAAGGAGGAGGAGCTGAACAAGCACTCTCACATGATTGCAATGATCCACAGCCTGAGCAGCGGCAAGCTCAAGGCCGACTCAGTCAGCCTCAGCCTGTAGGGCCCCGTGAGAGAGCGCTGTCTGGACCCTCACGCACTGTTACACTGGCGCTGAGAGCAGCTGCTTCAGTGGCCCCCAGCCTGGCTTCTTCTCGTGTCCTGGAACACTGCCTTTCTAGCTAAGACAGTATACTGGAACAAAGAAGCAACATTTTCAACTGTTTTTTTCCATGAACAGCAGGATTTTTAATAAAAATCAAGATATAAAACATAGCAAGGAGAAGCAGCTCATTCTAAAGTGTTTCTCTTCAGCCTGTCGACTTTCGTCCTTTTTTAAATTTAAATTATGATTTAAGTGGGGAAAAAAATGTTTGGTATTATACATATCCTTAAACTATTTTATAATATTTTAGATCTTTTTCCATTATTTTGCATTGGTGTTTGTCCTATTCTCTCGAAATAATAACTTTTCTATGAACTGATATATATATATTTATGAAATATTCTCTTTTCAGTTTTAGTCTTGCAGTGTATCTTTTTCATCTTGTTTAATAAAATGTTTGCTTCCAGAAAGCTTACACTGCAACATCCGCAACATGTCAGATGAAATTCCTCTTGATAACCGATAGCTCTGAAAAATACTGAGAAACGTTACAAGGCTTGCTAGTGGTAATGATGAAATATATTAGGCAAAAATAAGGCATTTGTAACTAGTGACTTGTACAGAAACAAGGGGAATTTCAAATTAGAGTTAGTTTGCAAAGGCTTAGTTTAAATGGCAGTGGATTTAATCCTCTGAGGCTCTAGTGTGTTTATGTAACAGAGTTGGTTTATGTCACTGCACTTCCTAAATCTGTTCTACCATATGGATTTTGTCAGCAAGATGGTACAGACCGCATTAGCATTAACTATGGGTACTTTTGGTTGCTTAGTGTCACAGTTTCAAGGAGAACAGTGTTCAAAAACTGGCATCCTTTTGATCACAGCATACCATGAGTAAGGAAAAGTAAAGCCAGACTTGAATTCATCCCAGTCCTTGCTTCAAGGGACACCTACAGTTACCCAATTACCAGCTCATCCAAACCAGCTTGTGCCTATGGTTGTATATGAAATTAGTGGGAATGAATTTTGGATAAACTCATTATAGAGGTGATTCTGGTTGTACTCCTTACCAGATCCCCTTTATTATTTTTACGTGTTAGTTTATTGTTCTAGTTCTTTTGCATTTTAAGATTGTGCCTGAATGTGAAACCCTTTTCTTATGAAATGTAGAGGTAGTGTACTCTGACAGGATCACCCCAGGGTGCTGAATGACTGGACCCTAGAGGCAGGAGGCTGGTTTGTTTTCTATCGGTCAGACCTTGGGTTGTCCTCTCAAGGTTATTATTGTACGGTTGTGTTAAATGGTGCTATTGCTATGGCATTTGGACTTGGGCCAGTATCCTCTCCCACTCCTTTTTTCAAGGACCCCCATGAGATGTGAGCAAAGACTTTCGTGGGGGAAAAGTTTTTTAACACTGATATACAGTATTTGACTACAGCTGCTGCTGTATTTGACTTAAACTGGGGTTCTGAAATTTCCGTCTGAACTGCGTAAGACAAAATTTTAGGTTAGTAGCTTTATTTTCATTAGGCTAAAATATGCAAAAACTGTACAGCAAATATCTTGTATACATGAACAGAAATATTTTTACAAGAATAAGTGTTTCACTCTTTAGTCCAGTGTACTAGAATTTACATTAGTACTTGCATTCAAGAGTTGGGTGTCAATACATTGGTACTGTGTCTCCTCTTTTCTGTGCCATTTGTCTCGCTCAAAGACTATATCAAGAGCCTGTCAGTCTCTAATCTGATCATCCCTCTGCATATCTCTGTCATTAAGCTCGCCTGTGCAGTCTTAGTAAAAATTAGCTCAGGGAATTAACACTGTCTGGCTACAGTGAAAGAAAGGGCTGCATTTTAATATTGCTTTAGTCTCTGCCTGTTGGATTAAGATGCCAGGGACACTTGTGTTAACCTTGTTGTCTGATGCCTCATGCCGTTCGATGTCTGAATGCCTTGCTAATTCACGGTAATGACACGGTGGATGAACTTGATGATGTCCAGCGTGCATCCATGATTCTATCTGAATTTTCCTGGAGCCTAACCAAGCTGTTTGAATACATTTCGGTTGATAATGAAGGTGTCTGACCCTGGTTGGCATCGCATGTTGCTCTTGGCACCTTGTTAGATAGCCCAGGGTGCTGGCCAAAGGCTGCTGACCGGGCTTATTCTGTTGTTCCTTGCAGATTAGGCTGTGGCGTGAGGTTTGCTGGCCTATTCAAACAACTGTGCTGTGAAAACTGTAAATCAGGAGTTTGCAATCCTTGTCTTGGAGTTTCACAGCCTGCTTTAGTTGTACCTAATTAGCCTCAAATAATTGATCACTTCATAGACCCAATAATACGTTTAATTTAAACTCTAATCGTTTTCCCTTCCTAAACATTCAGGAGCTCGCCTTTTAAACTGTTATGTTTCTTAAGTAACTTCAGATCTCCAACCTTTGTGTTGGAAAAAACAAAGTGCAAAGGTTCCAGTCAAACGTCGTGTTGGTAAAATTAAGGGTTTAGTGAGGTAACGAGCTGAGCTCCAATGAAAACCAGCAACCAGGTGACTTGTGTGGGTCACCCAGAAACCTCTGCTATAAAGCCATGGAGGCACAAGTACAACTTGACCCAAGACATTGTGTGTAATATGTACTGTGCATTAAGATACATTTATACCTAGTTGTGTGTATGCCTTCAGAAAAATAAAATACAGATTTCACATATTAAAAGGCTTTTGGTATCATTTTGATAAATTGATCATTCAAGACTGATGCGCTCAAGTGATTCTGCTGTGTAAGCATGAGATTACAGTATTTTAGTAATTAAGAAGAGAGCGGACTGGGCACAGGCGATGAGATGATTGAATCTGTCGAATGTCACTCCTGGTGAAAATCAAGGAAGAAAAAAACGGAAAGAAATCAATATGTCCCTGGTAACAAGAGAACAACGCCTTTATGCTCCCGAAATGCTGAAAGCTGGACTGCGTCACCTCAGGTGGAGTCACCTGCGGTGGACAAGTCCCCTTTAGTGCGGGTCTGTGAAGACTGACTTGAGGGAGGTCAGCGAGTGTGGCGTAGCACCGGGTGTGAAACGATACCCTGGGTGTTACACACAACACGCCATGGAAGGGGAGGACCAAGTGTGAGGTTCTTGGCCAGAGGGCCTGGTGGCCACCGACTCCAGCAGTGGCCACAAACCTGACTGCCCTGTGGCTTTCACAGCAGACCTCTTGTTGATTGACATGGATGACAGCTGTCCAGCAGGACTGTAAAGAATTTACCTTGGCCATGTGTGTTTAATGGAATGTTAACTTAATGAATTTGCGGCAGTTGTAAGTGATCAGCCTCTTTTGAAGATGAAGTAGAAAAGCCACTGATCTGTGTGAAGAAGTATCCCATGTATTTTTGATCCTGATCTGGACGAGAGAAGAAAACTCAACAGGACAGAGGCCTCTTGACGAGAGCTTGGGAAGGCATATAAGCCTGTGCTGTTTAAAGGCACAAGTATGAGGCTGACCAGTTGTTTGGGAAATAAAATAGCATGAGATTAAGACGAGATTGTGAATGTAGGCCTTGTTGTTGTTGGAGTAAGACCTGTATTAAGTGACTTATGCTTTGTGAAAGAGTTATATCCCATTTCCCTCCCCTTGGCCTGCGCGTGTGTTTTCTTTTTGTCTATTTTTTGACCAGAGGACAGTTATAGAAGCTGTGTGAAATTCCATTTATTCTGTCGTCTGCCTTGGGAGTTTATAAAAGCAGGCGTTCTTCAGAATTGCCGTAAGTCCTTCTGTGCTTGCACTGTTCCAGGGTAAGTACAGAGCTGCACAGCAATTCTTCAGCATGGGTTTTCTTCTTTTGGGGCCGGCAGAGGCAACACCTGAGCATGGAAGAGCTTTAAGAGCTTTAGATTGATCAGAATCGTGTGTTGTGTGGTGTAGGGAATTTACCGCTTTTGAATGTGGTAAACACCGAAGGGGCTTTGTTTTCTCATTCTTGTGTCAGAAAAACACCAAAAGCAGTAATTCTGCAAACAAACCCATGTCTTGGTCTTAGATGTCCTGACTGGAAAGGGGTGAGACGTAACTCTCTCTCTCTCTCAGCTCTGGTGTGTAAATTCTCTTTCCTACTAGTGAAGCGCTCCGCTGTGTCTTCTGTCCCTGCAGGACCCGGGTTCGCCTCTGTCGTCCCTCACCGCCGGCCGTCACCATGAGCACCGACGTGGCTCAGCTCGGAGAGGCGGCTCCCTTCCTGCGCAGGAGTGCCGGGGAGCTCGCAGGGATGCAGATGCTGCCGTCTGACGGTTCGGTGTCTTCGCTTTCTTCCCTCTGTCAGCTTGCCGAAACCAGCCCCAGACCTTTCCAAGTAGAAGCAAATCCAAGGAGAGCCGAGCAAAGCTTGAAACTGTCTTTTTAATGAAACGGTCTATGCAAGCTAAAACCCAGGAATAATTGTACATGTGGGCGTTATTTTAAATAGCTGTTTAACACAAGCAATTCAAAATGTTGCTACTGAAATTGAAGCATGTGAGGTTTTAAAGAGGTCCGTTATGTAAGTGAATATCAGTGCCGTTCGGCATGTCTTACTGTTTTGATGGAAGAGTGCTCCTCAGTGTATCTTTGTGCAGAAAGAATACAGCAGTTTAACATCTCGGGCTCCCTTGGTGTGTGCTGGGACTCGCTTCCTTCCTGCCTCACTCATGTCTGCTGTCACGCTTCCTCTCCAGGTAAGAAGAGGTGCTGGATTCCTGACGACAGGGAGGTGTATATCGAAGCCGAAATCAAGGAGACCCTTGGAGACAAAGTAGCTGTGGAGGCTGCTGACGGCAGGGTAGGAACAGTCCTCCATTTTGCACAGGGGAAAGGAGAGAGTCTGCTCCAGATAAGACTAAAAATGACATGCATAAAAATGAACCTAATCTCAGTATGAACATTTTATGTAGACGTCAGTAGCCATTTAAATTTCATGCTGGCAACAATAGGCTGATTGTCAAGCTAGAATGAAACTTTCACTGTACGAAACCCACCTTTATACAGTAGGACTATGGCTCACATTAAATAAATACTTTCACCTATTCCCGTCAGGCATAAATCCCAAACTCTTTGTTATTTAAATCGAATTTGCTCAATGCTCTCTTGCAAATATTGTAATTGGATTGGAATCAGCCATTTGAATTACAAACAGAAGTGAAACTGTGCTGTGCTGGGGCTTTTGGTGACTGCCTTGATGTCTAAGAAATATCTGGAGCCACTGTGGCCTTCAGCTGGTTGGTCAATTGAGCTGTTGTGTTGACCTGTCCTGACCTCTCCTTTTCAGACCCTGCTGGTGAAGGAGGGAGATGTCCAACAGATGAACCCGCCCAAGTTTGATATGATGGAGGACATGGCCATGCTGACACACCTGAATGAGGCCTCTGTGTTGCATAACCTGCGTCGCCGCTATGCCAACTGGATGATCTATGTAAGAGCCAGACTGACATGGCCTTACATCAGCACTAGCTGAACACCCGGGACCCAGCAGGCACTTTTAGAGAGAAGAGGCAGCAGCAGCATGGTCACACTTCAGATTGCTGTGCAAATTAACATGACACAGAAGACACTCTCTTTAAGAGTGTAAGAAAGGTTTCTTACATGGAAGCAGACCATTTGACCAGTCCCTGGGTTGTTGGTTGGTTTCTATGAGACAAAAAGTTGAGTACTTAAAAGAAATAGAGTTGAGTTGAGAAGTTGAGTTCCTGAAAGAAGTTGGCCTGTCAGAGTAGGATATTTCTTCAAAACCAGGAATCATGCTCTTTGTCTAGACTTATTCCACAACAACAGCATGTTTTTTGTACTGTGGTGACCAACCCATCAATTTACTATAAATTGAGTTCTTGTTAATGTTGATAAAGCTTCCAGAGATTAAGACATGGTTAATATGAACACTCCTGTTTATCTGTAGATGTTTTATTACCTTTCTACAGAACCTTCATTTATACTAAATGAACCTTTAATAGAAAATCTATTAGATGATACAACTGAATCTAAAGTATTGCTGAATTGTTTAAATCCAAGCTTCAGATACCTGTAAATATGGAGAAGATACTAAAATATATTGTCACTTAGCATGAAATACAATGATTTGGTTTTTGTCTGTGCTCACCAAATGCTCTTATCCAGGACACGCTTAAAATAGCGAGCATGCATGTGTTTCTTTTGGTTTGTCGCAGACCTATTCTGGGCTGTTCTGTGTCACCATGAACCCGTACAAATGGCTTCCTGTGTACAAAGTGGAGGTGATCGCAGTTTATAAAGGCAAGAGGCGCTCGGAGTCCCCTCCTCACATCTTTGCCATCGCTGACAATGCCTACCACGACATGCTGCGCAGTGAGTACCTGCTGCAGGCCAGCGGATCAAAAACCGAATCCATTTTCCAACAACATCCGCGCATTTTATTTTTCATCGCAAAAGCACGTCTTTTGCAAAAAACCTGGACTCAGATTAAATAAGAAAAAATAGGTATCAAACAATATTACATACCTGCATATAGCAGTTTCTTGAGTGAAAATGACACAGTGTCAAATAATATCACCTGCATACAATTATTTCCTTTATTTATTTTCACAGATCGGGAGAATCAGTCCATGCTGATCACGTAAGTGCTCGTGGGTTAGGGACCGCGCCTGTGGGAAATCTACAGTCACATCACGGTTCTTCTGTGAACAGAACCCATGCAAAACAGGGCCCAGGCTTTGCTGTGGCGTGACATTTGAAGAGTTGACATCTGACATGAACAGGAAGAACTCAATTAAGGGCTGGGACTGAAATTAAGGGCTGGTGTTCATACTGACCAGCTCTCCCAGTCCACCAGTTCCAGTGTTGGTTCCCGGTATTCCCTTTGCTGTGCTGTTGTGAACATGGATGGCGTTGTC